TAAGTTATTAAAGTTATATAATTTAAAAAAAAAGACTGCTTTTCCTATTCTTGCGGATTTTAAAATATAAAAAAATAAGGTAAATTAATAGTTTAAGGTATTACTTAATACTAGGGCTAATGCTAATTTTATTTTAGTTTAATATTTAAATATTTATAAAAATAAGGTATTAAAAATACTAACTGTATAATATAGCTAGTTTAGTATACTAATAATATTTTTACTTTTTATTATAGGTATTTACAAGCCTGTACTTAGGTTTATAATTTAAAGGGAGTTATAAAAATATTTAACTTAGTATATTATATTATTAATTTTATTTATAAAAATTATTAAGTAGTCCTAGAATATCCCTAAATAATTAAATTAAATCTAGATTTTTACTTTATTATAATAAAATAAACTTAGCAAAACTATATACCTTTTATTAAAATTAAAATATTATAAAAGTTTATAAAAACTCTGCGCAAGGGGCTAGTACTTATAATACTTTATTAATTAAAAAAAATTAAAGGGGGAGTAAAGGTGGTCCTGCTACCCTAGTATATTTACTAAAGTAAAGTTTTTTTTAAGCAAGAAGCTACTTAACTTTTAACTAGTAAAATAAAGTATAAAATCCCCTTAAAAAAAGATAAAAAGCCTTTATAGGGTTTTATTTATAGTTTTTTTTAATATAAGTTATAAATATTAAAAAAGTATTTTAATAAAATACTTAAAAAAAAATAAATTAAGCTATTTTAAAGTAGCGCTGGAGTGCTAGTGCTTTTTATTTAAAAACTTAATAAATTTTTATGTTTTTATATTAATTATTACGGTTTAAATATAATAACTAATAAAAATTATTATTTACTACCATATATTAATAAGCTAATAAATTAACTAGTAAATACAAAATATTTTACTAAGCTAGATTTACGTGACATGTATTATAAAATATAAATTAAAAAGGAAAATAAGTAAAAAATAGTATTTTAAACCTATTATAATTACTATAAGTATATAATTATACCCTTTAGCTTAATAAATACGCTAGTTATATTTTAATTTTATATAAATATAGTTATAAGCGGGATTTTTAACAAGTTTTATATTATTTACCTTAATAATATTCTTATTTTTTTGGAAATGGAAGAAAAACATGTGCACCATGTTTAAAAAGTTTTTAATTAATTAAAAAGGCATAATTTATATATAAAATTATTAAAATATAATTTTTATAAAAAGGAGGTAAAGTTTTTAGGCTTTATTATTAAATAAAAAGGAATATTTATTAATTTAAACCATAGCTAAACCATTATTAATTAACTAAAACTAATATTATTTTATAAGTTATAGGTTTTTTTAGGCTTTATAAATTATTTTTAATACTTTATTTTTAATTATACTAAAGTAACGCGTTTAATAACCTAGCTTTTAGTAAAAATAGTAAAAAAATATAAAAACAAGCCTTTTTTTTTTCTTATTAATATAAAAAATATATTTAAAAAAATTAAGTTAAACTTTACTAGACTACTAGTACTGCAGCACTTTAATTTTAAAAAAAAGATTTTTATTATTATTAATATATTAG